TTTTTTTTTTTTTTTTTTTTTTAATACCAGGTTGAATTTTGAGGAAATACCTTGCGTGGGTTAAAAAAAAAAGGTAACTACTCATTTTCTATTATGCAACGCAATATTATACTGCCCTATGTCGTTGTGAGAGTGCATTGACTTCGGCAACCGTTTGTGTCCTAAACACACTGATAGTAATAGGCAGTTTGCTGGAAAATAAAAGTTGAAAAATAAACATTTCAAAAATGTTAATGCTAGTTCACAAAAACATTTCTTTTTTAACTTGTATTTTCATTATTACTATAGTTATACTGTGCTTTCTACTGGATTCCCATCTAAAAAAAAAAAAAAATAATTTAAAAAATGCGTGCAAATCGGTGGATTACATTATTTATTATTCTGATATTAAAAAAAGAAAGGCATTTGGGAATTTAATATTTAAAGGCTAGACCAGTGGTTCTTAACCTTTTCGGAGGTACCGAACCCCACCAGTTTTATATGCGCATTCACCCAACTCTTCTTAATAGGAAAAATAAAATATGATTTTTTTTTTCCTGATTTTTTTTTGACCTCCGCCGAATCCCTGAGACTGACTCATCGAACCCCTGGTGTTCAATCGAACCCAGATAAAGAACCACTGGGATAGACTGATATTTTTATTTTTCTTTTGTTGAAACTTTGTTATTAAGGAAAGTGCGTTACAAAAGTAGCACCTTGAAAGAAAACATTATCACTTTCAATGTAATAATAATTGATTAATCGTGCACTATTGTTTGCGCCAGTTTAATTCTTAATTGTTTTAAAAAAATTAAATAATACATTTTAAAAATGCAAGTGATTAGACTAAATATATGCATACATTTCTTTAATTTTTCGTTTTATTTTAATCAACATAGTTTAATCGAGCAAATTCAAATTATTCTAACAACATTGTTTTTTAAAGTTGTTGCCATCGTGTAATGTAATTTATAATTAACCCTATTTTAAAAATCATGATATTTTATGATGAAATATAATTAATTGAATTCAAATTGTAAATATTTGATTTTCTTATACTCTTTACAGTACAAAGAAATTAAAATTACATTTTAGACGATTTTGATCAAACACACAGATTGTCCGTTCGGTAATTAAGATAAGAAATAATCGTTAATGATTCAAATTAATGAAAATGTATTTTAATTACATTTAGCACATTATATCCAGCACATGGATAAGTAGGATTTAGCAAAAAGTTCAATTTTATTTTAAAACATTATGAATTATAAGCATTTATACCATTGGTAATGTAGGTTTAATAAAAAAAAGAGTTCAAATATTTGGAATCGAGTATAAGGCCTATATTTAGATTCGCCTTAAATAATTGGATCACCAAATATACCGATATCCCCAATTTTTGTAACAGTTGAGTATCTCACTAATTTTAATTTTAATCGGTGACAGTAATTTTTAAAAATTGTTTAAAAGAAAAATAATTATAATACAAAATTATAATAAAATAACAGGCCTATGCGGTCCTCTTGACTTTCCACTGACTACCCCATCCCCCCCTCCCACCCTTTTTTCGCCACGGAGTGATGCCTAAAAGAAATAAGAGAAGGGATAGTGTCGAAAAGAGTGAGCAAAGTAGATACGAATGGAAGAAACTTTAAAGTGATATTATTAGAAAGAAATTTGGGCAATTTAATTTTAAGAATAAGAATAAATAAAAAAGAAAATTAAATATCTTAAAAAAAGCTTGTGTCATTTAAGCTTATTATAAAGTATAGTTTAAAAAAAAAAAAAAAAACCCTACAAAACTTGACTTTTTTTTACAAAGTTTGTTTTTAAAATAAAAAAAATTAAAAAAAAAATAAAAAAAAATAAAAAAAAAAGAAAATTAAAAATCTTAAAAAAAGCTTGTGTCATTTAAGCTTATTATAAAGTATAGTTTAAAAAAAAAAAAAAAAAAACCCTACAAATGTTGACTTTTTTTTACAAAGTTTGTATTTAAATTGATGAATTTTAAACAAAAAATCAATTTTATTGTTGTTAATGTCATCATTTATGATATATATAACAATTAATATGTACTTAATTTTAACTTAAAATTTAGAATTGCAAACGTTGAAAGAATAAATAAATATAATTAATATCATCCTCCAATTGGAAACCCCAATCTATATATAGTTAATGTCCAGAAATCTGTTTCCGTAAATTTTACACTCATTTTGATGACGTTATCAGCATTTTGTGAAAGCGGAAGAATAGTAAGCGGAAAGGGGAAAGAAGCAAAACAAGAAACCTTTTTTAGAAAAGGAAAAACAATTTGGTCTAATTTCAGTATGCCAGTTATGGTGGCTTTGGAAGCTTATGTTTATTCATTAGAAGTGTAGGCTTCAATAGTAAGTTGTTTAAAAAATATATATTTGATACAAATTACGTCATACAATTTCATAGATGTATGTTATAAGTATGTAGACTTTATACTTTATCTTTTCGTTTGCAACCATTTCATATTTTGTAGCATCATTTGCACTGTCTGCATTGGCAATTGCAAGCGCTAGTTGCTTCCTCCTTGTTAACATCGTTTTGTAATCATTGATGGAGTTTGTCTCACCATATTTATCATAAAGGAAAATATTCTCTAATCAGTGAATCACTATTCTATCAATTACTACTAAAACTATCTCCTACACTTACTTACACTTACGTACACACACTCACACACACTGACACTATCCAGTCTCGGTGACTGTGGTCTGCTGAGTGATTGTAAATAGTGGGACTGAAAATTAATAGTAATTTTCCCCTCATGCCGATTCCCGTGAAACAAAAATGTATCATTTTTTAGGATGATATAAATAGCAAAATTGGAACAGGAGGTTCATGACAAAGTTGCTGTGTTATGTACTGGTCTACTACTTCATTTTGTGATGTGGCAGACATCTTTGTTGCCAAGACAGCAGACACATTAAAAAAAAGTAGTATACAGAATGAGAAAAAAGTAGAAAATTTATGAGAATGGTTAAAAAAATTAGTGTTCCATTTGGTCTGCGGTGGAAGTAGCAACTCATTTATTTTATCCCTCTCTCACTCTCTAACTCTAAATACGCTGCAAGAAGTGTCAATGACCTGCGGTTGCTCCCTTCCCTTAATTATCGCTATATCTCGGCGCTTGCAAAATCTCCACTCTCCAGTGTGCTAATTGCACAATATGGTGACAATTCCAAAGCGTAAAAATGAAGAAAAAGGATAAATATTATAGAAAAATTGAAAACCCAGTCTCGTCAGATTCAGATACAATTTTACACACTTAATACAGGTTCCACTAAAAAATAAAACCAAAACATTGTCAGTAATTTGAAAATACATTGATCAATATGACCAGACTTCTGCAACACTCACTCCACATAGTTTTACCTCGCTTTCAAAAATTTATGCAAAATTACCATACTGAATCATCAATCTTTGTGTACCTTTGTAAACAAACTAAAGTTCTTTATACAAAGAAGCACGTCAAATGCCTCATGACACTCCTAACTAAAATCGGCCCAATCCTATATTCCAGAGTTGGCTAGTTAAATTTAAAAAGTCAACTGAAAAACATAAAAAAATAACAACTTTCACATAGGTATACATGTTTGTTAGTGTTAGGGCTACAAATAAATTATATGCTTATGTATAATTTATGATTACCCAGTTCAGGAGTCTTTAAGATTGAATTATGAATAGCCTAAGTAAATTAAGTATTAGTTAATGTATAGGGCTATACGATGAATAATGACTTACACTTACATTCATTTTATTCATAAGACATAATTTTTAGAAAGTTACTAAAATACTCTTCTGTCTCTACCCTGACATGTTATTGCTACTTACCTTAGTATAAAGTTGATGATGTCAGGATGAAATTAATTTGATTAGTTATGTAAACTAAATTTCTTTTTATGTCTACTCAGGGATTAGGTAGTTTACTGGGGTAGGGGGGCAGGGGGGGGGAGGGGTGGTGAACATTTTCATTAATTTTCAAATCAGATAATGCAAACACACTCAAAGTAAAGAGCAAAATAAAAAAAAAATTACAAATTCCTTGACTGCTCTTCATTAGGTTTTATATAAATATCATTTAACAAGAGTAAAATCAATTCAAGCGAGTCATATAATTTTGTTTTCAAATCACTCAAATAAATAACTAGTCAGTTGAAAGTCAAGACACCACAGATCACTCACACATCATCAAATTTTGACTTAAAAAACACTTTAGCTGTTATTAATTTAATAACACCCACTGACCACACGTTTTTTTTTTGTCTTGCCGAGCTGTAAATATTCAAATCACAAACCTCCTAGAGGCTAGGGTGAGACAGTATTCTCCAGCTATTTAAGCATGTTCACAAGATTTAGGTGTGTGAGGTTTCAAATCCAGTTACCATTACAAGTCACCAGAGAATAACTGTCCCCTTCTCATGGTATAAACGGTCAAATTATGCTGGTGGCAAAACGGAATGGATGCACAAAAATTCCAGTAGTGGGATTAAACCCAAGACATCCACGGAATTAGAATAACACTCTAGCCAATTTTCTGGTGATTACATCTTCTGGTTATAATTAACAATCAACTTTGATTTCCCTTATAAAGAATCTGAGCTCTGACTTGCAACACAACATGTCTTTTTATACTTCATTACAAATAATTTTAGGCTTTAAATTTCTTATTGACTAGTATTGTTTTTCTAAAACTTAGAATTTAAATTGGATAATTTTTTTTTTTTTTTGTTTTGTTAGAAATGTACACTTTACCTGCTGTATATTGTAAATAAACCTGTTATTACCACTAAATAAAAGGGATGTGGTTAGTTGGATTAGCTAAACTTTATTGACAGTTTTTGCTTTCCCAAACACTGGACTTGAATAAACTTAAGTAAAGATGGCAATAAATTAATTGAAACATTTGCTTTATCACCTTAAGTCCTCAAAGGAATACAACTTGAGATTGTCCTTGCTATAAACCAAAACAATCTTCCTTATACAGCCATTGAATGTGTTATTTTATTGATTTGTAAAAACTTTAGTATTTTAGCAGTATAATTTTAAGTCATTAAAGAAGAACAATTGATAAGTCATTATATGGGTGCCATTTGATAAGTTATTCCTAGTTTAGTGACAAATAAATTTAAGAAAACATGTAAAAATAACAATTGTTTTCCTCCTCTTAATCAACACCAATTCTTGATTTTAAAAAAAAAAAAAAAAATTGTTTCCAATCTTCATTATTTATTGAGAAAAATTTATTTAAATTTTAGAGAATAGAATTGCAACTTTATTTATTTTTTCTTCTTGAAACATTAAGTCTTTAAGTTCATCTCTTGTCACTTTTAATGAACCTTATTAAATTATTAGTTCATTGTCACATACCATGTGGGAAAGTAAATTAATTGCATTTTTTGGGGTTTATTTAGCTAATCATGGCTAAGCACATGACCCCACTTAATGAGGAACTACTTTCTACTGGCAGTGTCATTTAAAAAAATAATAAAAAATTGCCCCATTTGTTTCTTGGAAATAGGACATTTTCTTTTCATTGTAATAGAAAAATTAAAGTACTATTTTCTATATGTTAACCTGTTCATTTGGTTGAGCCTCTGGCTAAGTTATTTTGTTTCAGATTGTTGTAAAATATATTGAATAATGAGTTCAGATTATACACACTTGGGTGGGTGGTGAACATGTCATGATTTAGGGACATCACTGTGAGTTGAATTTTAAATATGTTTTAAAACTCTGTAGATAATAAAATAAAATGTAAAAATGCAAATGTAGCATTGCATAATGTCACCATTGTTGATTATGTTTGTGTTATTCTTGCTGGACATATAAGTTTGCTTTATCCTTGCATTACATAGCATATTATGTTATTGTAAATCATTTATGTCACTAGGTAATAAATGATGGATTTTTACAAAAAATGTAAATGAAAAGAAAGTATGGATGTTTTTGTGTATGGTTGTGTTTGCTGATCCCTGAACTCTGACCTATTTCAACTGATCTGTGGACATATTTTGCATGTCCCTCCTTTTTTTATTTTTTTCAAATTGACCCTGCCAGTTTGAAACCCACTGCTTCATACCACAAACTGGCCAATTAGACTCAGCACACCATTACATTTAAACTAAAAAGCACTTCTTTTTCCACTCTAATATTTGAGACTGTGTTTCTATATCCGTGTAATTGAACATGTGAGTGACTGCTGGGCAAACAAGGAAGTGAAATCCGTCCCTACAGAGAAGCATGATTTGATGCATACACATATAACATTTATTTAAGTGGGAAGTTAGTTTACTGCATGCACTTGTTGGGTCCCTGGCTGTTTGATCAATTATCCGTTTAGGTTGCCCCATCTGCTATAACACGTCGGTTAAGTTACGGTTGTCTCATCTGTTATAGCACTTCATTTAAGTTATAGTTGTCTCTTCTGTTATATCATAAATCAAATTTACCTAATATATATATATCTATCCTGTTTAAAAATGAATATTTTCGTCTTCTTTTTGTACTGATGAAGGCATTTGCCATAACTTGTACATTTTTTTTCTGTGTAACCAGTATTAAAGCTTAACCTATATTTTATTAACACCAATTTTCTGCAGCTCATTAATCTACTTGAAAGCTCTATCGCAGCTCTAACACTTTTATAATTAGTGGATACAAGTAACTTCAATGGGAAGTGCATTGTTATTAATGGGTTAAAGGACTTGCTGTTGTAGGATGTTAAACCAAGTGGCTAGGGAGGATCCAATTTATTTAATCAGTTTTATGATTAAAAGTTGGATATGGATTTTGTCAGGAGGCGGTAGCTGGGTTACAGAGATATTTTTGGCCTGACAGTTTTTTCTAAGAAAATAGTCCATGGTTAAAACAACATTTGGATGGCTCCATTGGTTAAACTTTGGCATTATGGGACATTGGACTGACAGGATTGAATTTATTTTTTTGAAACAAAAAATTCACAAAGTTCACTATGCAATAAAATAATATGTACATTTTTTCACATATACTATAAATATTTATTGAACGAAAATTCTTTGTTTTTGCCTGTCATACTATATTTTGCTGCTCAACACCCCCCAAACCCCCCCCCCCCCAATGATGGCTATAATCAGTTACATATTCTTTGTTTTTGCCTGTCATACTATATTTTGCTGCTCAACACCCCCCAAACCCCCCCCCCCCAATGATGGCTATAATCAGTTACATATAATATTTTATCTTGTGTAACATCAAGCATTTTTGCCGCATGCTTTTAAAACCCATGAGACTATTACCATGGCTGTTATATCCTTAAAACCCATGGGAAAACTACTACTTGCTATTATATCCTTGCCTTACTGTATAACCATCTTCAATCTCAGTTGTACTCCATATGGCAGTATTTTTATTCCTTTATTGTTCAACAGTACTATTTTATACACCACACCTTATGGCATGCCTACTGGCTGAACTGTTGTGAACCAACCTATTGATAATAAATAAGCACAAGCTAAGCTACACATACATTTTGTGTCTGTTTATAAGCTGTATACCACTTGGTTATAATAATTCTTCTTTTATAAACACAGCTTTAAATTGACATTTTTTTCCTTCTTATTAGAGCCAAACCATGGGTTTTGGCAAGGACATGAAAGGAAAGCTATCCCATGATGCATTGCTGCGCATACAAGATGCCGAGATTCGCATGCTGGAATCTTTCCAGCAGTTCATCAACCATCGGGTGGACAATGACAGGAAGTATGCCATGGGTCTGGCAAAGATGTTGGCTACCGCCTCCAAATCCAGTGTAGAGAACTCTGAGTTTAGAGAATGCTGTACTGTTTTTAAGGTATTCTCACTGCAGTTCCTGGTTTCTTTTTATTGTTCAAACTTGCTTTTATATTTAATCTATTATAATTCTTTATTTGTAAATGTATGTAAACTTATAATAAAAAAATATTGCTATTAATAGTTTTGATTCATACAAACTAAAAACAAATGTACTCTTGAAAGATATGATATCATCTAAATAGAAACACAACTAACAGCGACATCAAGTTTGCAACATAAGAACTTTTGAGAGAAGTCCGGGAAAATTGACATCAAGGGCCTATCCCTATTGTCACAGCACTGTGTGTTCCTGTGATGGGTCCAACTTCTGACTAATGATGTGTAATTTGTGTCTTTGGGAATTCCCCACGGAACACAGCATGCACCATTTGATTAAACCATTACACATCCCAAACACTTTCCTTGCACCACCTGGATCTTCCGATCCAGGCACTTCCACCCTGTACAATCCCGGGAACACATCTAGCAAAAAACATTTCAAAATATCTTTCATAATTCTGACAGCTCACCACTTATGACAAACAAAGTCACATTACTACAATAAGTCTTGTCAAGCTGATCGAAATGTTTCAATTTGTCTTTTTATAATATTTTTTTAAAACCATAACCGTTAGCAGTATAATTTTAACTAATGCTCTGTCAATAATCTAAACATAATATACCTATTATTTTTTTAGACTTTAACAGCAGATTGCTCAATAAATTTTAAACATGACCATTATTATTACATTTCTAACTAAGGCTCTGCAAATGACCTAAACAAAATATATGTATAATTTATTGAGAATGCTACTGCTCACTAAGTTTAAACATAATTGATAAAACAACCTAGAAAACTTTAAAGCACCTCACAATGACAAGAGATTATAATAATTGTTGACTGTTATTGATACACTTCTTTGGCTCATCTCTTTTCTTTTGCCTTACAAAAGCACTTAAGGTGTATTTAACATTTTGCTGAGCTGACGGTGCGGCACAAGTAAGCTAGTTGTGTGTTTGAGCTAATGGTGCTGCACAAGTAAGCTAGTTGTGTGTTTGAGCTAATGGTGCGGCACAAGTAAGCTAGTTGTGTGTTTGAGCTAATGGTGCTGCACAAGTAAGCTAGTTGTGTGTTTGAGCTAATGGTGCTGCACAAGTAAGCTAGTTGTGTGTTTGAGCTAATGGTGCTGCACAAGTAAGCTAGTTGTGTGTTTGAGCTAATGGTGCTGCACAAGTAAGCTAGTTGTGTGTTTGAGCTAATGGTGCTGCACAAGTAAGCTAGTTGTGTGTTTGAGCTAATGGTGCTGCACAAGTAAGCTAGTTGTGTGTTTGAGCTAATGGTGCTGCACAAGTAAGCTAGTTGTGTGTTTGAGCTAATGGTGCTGCACAAGTAAGCTAGTTGTGTGTTTGAGCTAATGGTGCTGCACAAGTAAGCTAGTTGTGTGTTTGAGCTAATGGTGCTGCACAAGTAAGCTAGTTGTGTGTTTGAGCAAATGGTGCTGCACAAGTAAACTAGTTGTGTGTTTGAGCTAATGGTGCTGCACAAGTAAGCTAGTTGTGTGTTTGAGCAAATGGTGCTGCACAAGTAAACTAGTTCTGTGACTGAGCTGTTGGTGCTGCACAAGTAAGCTTGTTCTGTGTCTGAGCTGATGATGCTGCACAACAAATTAGCTTCTTCTTTTGTCTGCGCTGATGTTGCTGCACAAGTAAGCTTGTTCTGTGAATGAGCTGAAGGTGGTGCACAAGTAAGCTAGTTCTATTTCTGAGCTGATGGTGCTGCACCAATAAGCTTGTTCTGTGAATTGGCTGAAGGTGGTGCACCAATAAGCTAATTCTGTGTGAGCTATTGGTGCTGCACCAATAAGCTTGTTCCTTGACACATGTCTGTAACTATTCCGTGTACCAGGCATGGGATGTGATACTGAGGGAGACTGACAACCTGATGAAGGCCATCAAGGCCAACTCTGACCACTTGTCATCCAACACACTGGACGTCCTTGGTCATCTCATCAATGAGAAAAAACTGGCCAGGAAGAAATACATGGACGAAAGGCTGAGGCTGGAATTAAACTTCAACAGGGTGAGTTGTCCATGGATTAATTTTTTTTTTTACAAACTTTGTCGTTATGTTTAGAGATAGTGGTACACATCTGAGCTGTCAAGTTGGGTATGCACAAAATTGCTACTAAACATATACTTTTGTTAAGCTCAACAAATCAGATAATATTTTGTTTGCATAAAAGTAAATCTAAGCAAACATCTTGGTTGGGTTCAGTGTAACAGCAGAATCAGAAAGTAATGTTTAGCATAAATGTTGATCCCAAACAACTCTTTTTTTTCCATTTAACTCCTCCTGGCTAAACTAGTTTTCTAAATGAACTCTATTATTTTTTTTTTAAATATATATATTTTTTAACCTTAAACACCCCCCCCCCCCTTTTTTTTTCCACCCTTTTTCCAATGACCTTCTGGCAACTAGCATTTCCATAGCAATTTCTATTTGACATGTATGACCCTTTCCTTTAGTTGATTGAGTCTTCTTGTGCTGACCTTAAAGGTCGCCTGAGTGGATGATGCAGAGTTACAGCTCCAGTATTTTGGGTTAAGGGAAAGGTGTGTGTGAGTGGGTGGGGTGGGGAATGGGGAAATAAGAAGATGTGATTTATTGGTTTTATCCCTGGGTAAAGGGCCATCACTGTAGCTGGTATTTTGTATGCATTTCTTGTTTTAAAAAAAAAATAAAAAATTACCAATTAAAATGGTCATGCCCAGTATTAAAAAATAGAAAATAAAAAAAAAATTATTAAAAAAAAAAAAAAAAAAAAAAAAAAAATTTATTGGTTTTATCCCTGGGTAAAGGGCCATCACTGTAGCTGGTATTTTGTATGCATTTCTTGTTTTAAAAAAAAATAAAAAATTACCAATTAAAATGGTCATGCCCAGTATTAAAAAATAGAAAATAAAAAAAAAATTATTAAAAAAAAAAAAAAAAAAAAAAAAATAACCAATTAAAAAGATAATACACAGAAAAAAAAAAAAAAAAAAAAAAAAAAAATTATAAAAAAAAAAAAAAAAAAGAAAAAAGACTATCTTCTAAAGATGATTTTAAGCACACTTAAGTGTAGAAATAATTTTCTTAAAATTTATTACACAAGGAAATGCTGTACAGAAAATATTGCCAAAAAATTATAAAAAATAAAATGAATAAATAGACATTTCAAGTACATTTAATTTGAATTCTTTGGCCTCGTAGAGTGAGTGCCTTACTACCCTACTGCACATACCTTCTTCATGTAATGAATTTAATAAAATTTTAAGAAAATCATTTTCTACATTTTAGTCTGCTTAAAAAAGAAAGTATTTAAAAAAAAAAAAGAACATGAAAATGACAGCCATGAAAATGTTTAGATTTTGTCTATAAACAAGATGATTATTTTACACATACTTTTCAGTCACTTAGCCACAAGTTTTTCTTCCTTTATACTTATTAGGTACCGGTACTATTGTCTCTAAGTGGAAGTTAACTGATCAATTTTGACTTTTCAGACTCAAAGTGAGCTTGATAAAAACAGATCAGAGTATCTCAAGTCAGTGGAGAGGTTGAATTCAGATAAATCCAAGTTTTTAGAGTTGCAGTCCAAAGGTGAAGGCTATTGCTCTTTCCTTTCTTCCCTGCACATTTCCTATTTTATATTTAGAATTTAGTAACACTTTTTAAAAAAAACAAACACAAACATCTACTTTATGTCCTTAACACTTGTATATATTTTTTTTAAAACCTTATTTTATTTCTACTTAACAATTTAAAAATAAAGATGGTGGATTTTTAAAAAATATTTTAGCCAACATTTTTTTTTTTTAAAGTGGAAAATGACAATTAAATTTGTCAAATAAAAATAATCCTTTTATTTATTTTCTCTAAGAGCAACAAACTGTTCCAAATGAAAAAAATTTTAATTTTTTTTTCTAACATCATAACATATAGAAACACATACAATTTCATAGATTCATTACATTTATAACGTTCCAGGTAAAGGAGGACCCAAGGTGGATGAATACAAATCCAAGTTCTTCCGCTCAGCTGTCCGGCTACACAAGTTACACAATGAGTACATCCTTTCAGTCAACACAGCTCTGGAGCACCAGAATATGGTGCGGGAAACCATACTTCCTGCCGTCTTGGACTGTCATCAGGATGGGCAGGAAACTCTTGTACATAAAACGTAAGCATTATGAGGTGTACACATCTCTATTATATTGTGTGTCACACAAACAAAATTTGTTTAAAAACCATGTTACGTTACATCATTCTAAAAGTGCATTCACACTGCTGATTTGTTTCTGAGATTCTCAACCAGGTATGCTCTTGTGTAGGCTTTTGTGTTTGCTTTTGTGTTTGCTTTTGTGTAGGTTGCTGTGTGAGCACTCATGTAGGCTGCTGCAATAAAAGTTGTGCGAGTTCTGAGAACTCTTGCGACTCATTGTAACAAAAATGGGGCCATTAAGGTTTGATTATTATGGGTTTGGTGAGTGTTCCAGCATATTGTCTTTCTGCTGGCAATAGGCAACAACAATCTTATAACTTATTTTTTATGCACATCTGTTGTCACTGATGGGTCAGTAGTATAGTAACTGGTATAAAGTATTGTGGTCACCAGAAAAAACAAAAAACATGACGAATTTTATATCAGCTGACCTGTTTACACATTTTAAATATTATTTTTATCCGATAGAAGCCATATTTTGTAATGCGAAGATTAACATTTGTGAAATAAATGCCAAGTTTGATTTTTTTGGAGTGGGCATGACAAGAAAAGATTTTAGAGGAACAGTGTCTTGTAAATGAAAAATGTCGTTGACCGTTGCACTAGCCCATATTGATACATTTAAACAAAAGTTCTTCATAGTTTTGGCTGCTCACTGTGAACATATATATATATGGCATATCCCTGTCAACTGTAGATTGTAGGCATCGCCAAATATCAGTGGGTTCTCGACATAGATTGACCACTGAATTTTGTGGCCTCAACAAGTCCCCAAAGTGAATGCCTTAAGAAATCTTCAGATTTTCTGAAAGAAATTTTTTTGCTCAATGAATTATATGCTATTAGGATTGTCAAGGGTAATTCAATTTTACTGATGCATCTTTAAAGAACTGTGCTTTATAAACAAAGAAAATAAGTTTAGTTTCTAATACATGTAATCCATTTTATTTGTTTTTTAAAAAAATACTATTCATATTTTACTTGTGTTGGTTTGAGTTGTTTTTTACAAATGATTTTCGTAACAATATATTTTTTTTCCTCCTGACTTTAAGAGATATCTAAATAAAACTAGTCATGGTTGAAGGGATCATCTTGGCTAATAAAGGGATCATCTTGGCTAATAAAGGGATCATCTTGGCTAAATGAAATTGATAGAAAAAGTCATGGTTACACAGGTCACCTTACAATAATTGTTTAGCATCTTATATTTGTTTCCTACTTTTCTGAAGATCAGAGACCTAAAGAAGATTTGTATAGTTTGAACTTTGAAACTGAAGATTCAATTGAGAAATAATAATACATTTTCTCTTGTTACTTAAAATAATAGCTATCTTTGTTAGGGTTAAAATAGCTATCCCTTTTGGGGTTAAAGCATCCATCTTTTTTGGGGAAATACGTAAGGCATCATTTCCTTATTTCATTGACAATTTAAACCCCTGTCATTTGTGTCTATACTAAATGACTTCTTATTGTCTCCAGGAAGTATGTGCTTAATGACTACCTGAAGTACTCGGACACATGCAGTGACCAGTTCCAGTCAGTCACCACCAGCATTGGTGATGCAATACATGCAATACGGCCAGGGGAGGAGTATTCCAGTACATTCATAGATTTACACAAGTGAGTCATTCCAGTATATTCATAGATATACAAAGTGAGTCATTCCAAAACATCAACAGAATTACACAAGTGAGTCATTCCAATACATTCACATATTTACACAAGTAAATCATTCCAGTATATTCAAAGATTTACACAAATAAGTCGGTTTATTAAGACATTCAAATCTGTGGAAGGTTTAAAATTAAATTAAATAGCCGTAAAAACTTAATGTACAGTGACTAAAGAAGTAAACCATTGCCATGCTGATGTGCCAATTTTTTGTACAGATCACCTCTCCCGCCACCATTAGAGTTTGTTTTTGATGTCAAGCTGTTAGATGACTACCAAGGTTCTTTGAAAGCAAATGTGATTGAGATCAACGACCTCACAATAGAAGCTTTACAGCAGAGGTAATTAGTAAACATTGTCATAGCAGAGGTAAGGGGTGAATGCTGTTATAGCTTTACAGCAACGGTAAAGGGTGAATATTGTTATCGCTTTACAGCAGAGGTGAGTGGTTTAAAAATTGTTATAGCCTTGCAGCAGAGGTAAGGGGTGAATATTGTTGTAGCTTTACAGCAGACGTAAAGGGTGAAAATATTGTTATATGATGAGAATTGCTAAAAGATTTATTATTATTTTTATTTTTTTGATTCTAACTTTTATTCAAATTTTACAGATGTAGTTTTGTTAATATTTTATTTATTTATTTATTTTTTTAAAATGTTTTTTGTAAAAAAAAATAAAAAATAGATATTACTAAAGCTCAGTTCACATGATAAATTTTTCAATCATACATCAGATGTGATTTTTGTAAGAAGTTTTTGTCTCTACTGTCAATTACTATTCAAATACATTTTTTCGAACTAATATTATTACATGAGATCCATATGAGGTGTGCACATAAAAATAAAAAAAGTTGTCCTTTACGAATGAGTTTACATTGACGATGCTATGTTGTTGAAACAATCACAGCCCCCATATAAGAATTATTGGCTTGAAAATATATGTAATAATTGTTTAGAAATATTAGACAGTAAATGAGCATAGAGCTTAAAGTCATTAAAACTTATTTATAATTAGGCTAATTATTGAAATTGTACATTAGGAAATGGCCCTCCCCAAAGCACCCCCCAACCTGAGTTATCGGGCAACAATGCAGATTTTCCACAGCTGGTAGCCCTGTAGATGCTATCATTTACAGCCATACCATGCATGCCCTTTGACTGCCCATGCAGGCGCACACAATGGTGGTTTTGTGCCCCAGGAAGCGTCAGGGGGTCAGAGGCGGCACCTCTTTGGTTGGCAAGCCACTACAGACTTGTCAACCAGAGCGGAAGGGGTTGGGAGGAGGCTATTTACTAATAAAGCCTATTCTATACTATAACTATAACCCTGTAACACAATATAGGTAGTGCAGTCTGACTGTTATTTACATCTGCTACAGCTAGCATCATGACTGTATCTATTACCATCTTGGTCAATGATTGAGACAAATAAAAAAATCTACCAAGTCTAAAGTCTAACTGACTCACTCTAAGAATTTTTATTCCAACACATTACTTGTTACTTGTAGCAGACTAAAAACATTTCTTATATTAAGTAATAATAAAAATTTAACTACAAGAATGGTTTTGGAGCAAGCTCTTTTTGGACAAACTCCGCTCCAAAAAAATTTCTGTGAGTTTGAGCTCCACTCCGACAAAACTAAATAGGTCTCGAGGTGTTGGGGAGTGTTTAAAGATATATGTTTGTTGTGACTTACCCATCCAGATCTAATTTAGCAGGCAATAGAACTGCATGTACCAACAACATAACAGGTAGAAGAGTCTGGCAATATAGCTAATGGAATGGTAAGGCAACATGTAATAGAGTGGGTCAATGTAGCAATAGAATTATAGGGCATCAAGTTCAATAAATTAGATCTGGTTAAAAAATGCAACTTATACTTCTAGTATTTTTATTTTGTATCCATTATTAATTTTAAAAATTAGAGCTCAGATCAGTAAGAAATTTTTCTAGCTCAGGTTCTGTTTAAAAAGAGACTGCTCCAGAACTGGGATTCTGAATCCCTGATTACAAGTAACAATTAGAAATTAAAGTCTCAAATTTTGTCTTTATGGACTTTACTATGGGTCAATTATTAAATTGTATGTCTATGGCAACTTACCATAGAAAACATGAAATCTTAGGATTGTATTATTGGTGAAACTAATGTAGACCACTATTTTACTTCTTTTGTGGAAGACGGAAGCACTTGACTTTACATAATACAGACTGAAATAGACACACTTGACATTTATGAAGGACACTGTTACCTTGTTCAAGTAGAGTAAAGCTCTGTTGCACATTAAAATTACCTTGCTCAAATAGAGTAAAGTTCTGTTGCACATTAAAATTACCTTGTTCAAGTAGAGTAAAGTTCTGTTGCACATTAAAATTACCTTGTTCAAGTAGAGTAAAGCTCTGTTGCACATTCATAAATAAAGTTGATTAAGAAAAGAAAAATTTAGTATAATTTTTTTTCACTGATTTAATTATGAATTTGTGTGCTGTTTCAAAAGTAATGATCATTTACCAGTAGAGCATAGGCCATTAAGTATTTATTTTAATATCCCTAGATTATTCCAGAACATGGGTGGGCAAACTTTTGTGTGTATTCCAGAACATGGGTGGGCAAACTTTTGTGTGGAGGGCCACATAAACATATATAAAGCTTTGGGGGGGGGCCACCTGGATATTATGTCCAATTTTTACATGTCGATAAACATTTCTCTAAATTAGAATCGTTAAATTCGCAATTTAGCATTACATGGCAAAAGTCAAGGACTGTTTAAAAATTTTAAAATTATATTAAATTTGATCAAAAATGTTAAAACAATCATAACGGTACATGAAATTGTGTAAAATTCAACAAAATAACTTTAAAATAAAGTAATTTTTTTTATTTTTAACCCTCTATTACACAATTTTAGTTTTTTATGGCAAAAAAATTTTGATTGCATACTTCATAGTTATTGGACTTAAATAAACCGAATATGCAAGGAAAATACGTTTTTAAAATAAAATAATGATTTTATTGGTAAAGTTCAGAAAAGTAAAACTGAACCAGAAAAGGAAACGATAACAATAATATTTTTAAAAGGTGAATATTTAATCATTAACACAAACAATGGTAAACAGTACTTAGCTTACAAGCATATCTTCATATTATGCTTTTATATCATGAAAAAGATCATTATAAAAATCATATTTTATAAGCATTTTTTACACAAAAATATAGAAAATCATGTCATCAATATATAGAGCATATAGAGGGACAGTAAATATTTATATACATATGTGAAATGCAGGTTTAATGCTGGTGGAACTGTTGGAAGCAGTGTGAACTTTACATTTTTCACATTTTATTCTTGAAAAATCCTTTGCATCTTCCTTTGTTTTCAAGTGGCTCAGGAAAGTGGCCAATATAATCACCTCTTACTGGTAAGGGTGGAACAGCTGCAGTAGGACCTCTCAGATTTTTAGCCGCAAGTTGAGGCTCTTTATCTAATGAAGGACTGCCAAGTGGCCCGGTAACTGATATTATGCGACCCTCTAAGGCATTTAATGGAATGAGAATTTAAGATATTTTGAAAGTTTCTAGAAAGTTGCAAATTAATGATCCATTATTATTTCCTATGCCAATGGTTGACAAACTCATTATTTAAAAGAGGCAAATAGCAGCAGGATGATTAAACAAATTTTGAGAGACAAATTTCTTGTCAAGAACCATGATTTTTGAGTCAAAACCGATTTGCTGCTGACTGGCCGCGCCGCACTCAGGAATGGGATCCCATACTTGGGAATGGAATGCCTTTTAGATAGGATTTTATAAATGTGTCTTTTAAATGTTAGCGAAAGGGCTAATGAAATGGTTTTTTATATTAACTAATGATTATATAAAAAACTGGAATCACTGGAAAACAAATAATGAGATTTTTATGGTGACATTAATATACGTGTATTAATATTTAAGAGCTTAGAAATTTTTTATTTACGTGCCTGGTATTTTACCATATACAAATATGCCATGTGAGTGTTATAATAGTTTTTTTGTATAAATTGCTGAAATTTCCTCAGATTATGCTATCAATACTATTAACTATGCTATAAGTATAGTACTATCTCTTATATTATTATATATTACGCTACTGGTATGACTCATGGACTGAATCCTAATGGACTGCTTCCTCATGGACTGCTCTCTAATGGACTGCTTCCTAATCAGCCAATTTGGTATTGAGAATATATTACAAATAATTTGAAATGCTTGAAAGAAAGTATGGTTCAATAAGAGTTCAATAGTTTGCAAAATATAATTCCCCGATAACTACTCTAAATGTTATATTTTCAAAATATTTTCTATATAACGCAACTGCGCTTGGTGCATAATATAAATTGTCTCAATTTAAGGATAGTGTAAAAAATGTTCCGTTTAAAAGTGGTAGGGAAATCATAATGTTAAATATAGTTCATGGTTGTGAAATAAAAAGTGTGCAGTGATGTATCATGGGGAAAGGGGCTTAGCAAAAATCGGGATTCTTAAATGTGCGTTACTTGAGTTCATGTTTTGTCGAGTAACTTTAATAGATGTCAATTTTACGCATTGCTGTTGCCAATGTATGGCGGGCTATATCTAGTGTTCTAGATTACTAGTTTTTGGTGTATCAGAAATGGTATCTACACCATGAAAGTATGAGAAACTTGAGCATGTCGTGTTTTCAAATATTTTAATCGTAGTGGAATTTATTTCAATGCCCTTCATTTTGATAAAACAGCTGAAACGTCGCATGAACAAAAAAGTAATACTGTGATTGGTTATCCCAGAAATTCTCATTTTTCTCACAAAAAAAAAAAAAAAGACGCCACACACACACAATAGTGCAATCATATAAATTTTCAAATATTTTAATCGTAGTGGAATTTATTTCAATGCCCTTCATTTTGAAAAAACAGCTGAAACGTCGCATGAACAAAAAAGTAATACTGTGATTGGTTATCGCAGAAATTCTCATTTTTCTCACAAAAAAAAAAAAAAAGACGCCACACACACACAATAGTGCAATCATATAAAAATTTGATGAAAAATTTGATCTTGTGAACTGAATATAAGAGTTATCTAAATGAGCTATCAAATTATTTAACAATTACATAAATACAATTTTTATTAATATTTTTGTTTTTATTTTTTAGAGATCTTATCTGCTGGTAAACAAAACTGTTTGGGTGTGTAATTTTATATTCCTGTTAGGCATTGTTGCCATATCACTCTAGTTTGAAATCTCCAGTTTGAAATCTCCGTTTGTTTGTCCTTGCAGGCTGGCCAAGCTGAATGAGGAGATGGAGGAGACCAAGAGCCAGTTGACGAGGGTCAGCTCAGACCACCAGAAGAACTCTCTAGAAACCAACAAGCTGGCCGCCAAGATCACAGAGAATCCTAACATAGACAATGTCAATAAGTAAGCAAACCAAAGTTACAGAGAATCCTAACATAGACAATGTCAATAAGTAAGCAAACCAAAGTTGGCATGGTGTATAAAGTATCAGATGGACCAGAAACAACAACACTATCTTGGATAGACAAAGAACACGTCGAACACACACATTTGAAATGTGTTTATACTATTTAAATCTTCTTGTCATAGCTGTATTATGTCAGTGTAATTCAGTTTAAATACTTTTTACATAGGCTATGTTTTGTCAATGTGATTCAATTTAAATACTTTTTACATAGGCTGTTCTATCAGTCTGATTCATTTTAAATACTTTTTACATAGGCTATGTTTTGTCAATGTGATTCAATTTAAATACTTTTTACATAGGCTATTATACCAGTGTGATTCAATTTAAATACTTTTTACATAGGCTATGTTATGTCAATGTGATTCAATTTAAATACTTTTTACATAGGCTGTTATATCAGTGTGATTCAGTTTAAATAATTTTTACATAGGCTATGTTATGTCAATGTGATTCAGTTTAAATACTTTTTACATAGGCTATGTTATATCAGTGCTTTTCAGTTTTAAAACTGTTGTTTTCACAGCTATGAAGAATCAAGAGCCAATTGATGGTTAGCCAACTAATTTTTTTTCTAGCTGATACATAGCTAACTAAAGCTGTTTCCTTCCAGCTACATAGAGCGGAGAGCCCAGTCAGAGAATCTGACCAAGGAGATTCTAGAGTTTGAAGGCAACCTGAGGAAGCTAGAGAAACTGGCCGTCGTGCTCAAGGTGCCGCTCAACAATCTGGGCAACGATCCCCCACCTCCGGCAACAGATGTCCAGGATGTTGGGGACCTGGTGAGTTGGGAACATTTAATTGCTTGTTAATTTTAATGTGGGGGTCATGATGGAACAGTTTGAAAACTTGATAAAGGTTAGTATTGAACTAACTAGCTCTCATGTTGAGTTATTATGAAATAATTGTTTAACATTGAGATTCACAGTAATTTTTTTTTCTTACAAATGCTTAAGTTAATTTTTTTTAGAAAATAATATAGAAAAACCACATAGAAAGCAAACATATACAAAATAATATAGAATGGCTTTTTTGTAAAAAATAACTCAAATTTCTCTCAAATCTATAATCTTTAGCTTGTGCATTTATTTTAGATAATATGTAAATATGTCAATGGTAGGCAAAAATCACCTGCCCAGACATCACTACTACCACCTTCCCAAAGTTCCCAAGTGCCCTGAGTGACAATGTAAATAAAAATAATGTGTGCTGTTTCAGCAGAGAACCCACCTGAAAATTACGTTATGTTTACACACAAAAAAAAATCAAAAAATCTTGGTTCTATTTCATATTTAGTTTTTGATTGTTTAGGATCAAATCTTATGTAGTTAGCCATAAATAAGCTTTGTCTAAATATTTCCCATAACATAATGGGAAATGTTTCATGTATTTCCAGGAATTAGAATCATACTCACAACAGCCTTGTTACTAGAATAACACACTAACAAACTTGGATAACCATAAGATATGGGTCTTACATGGTTACATACGCATTAAGTAACCAGTTATGACAACCAAAAAATGCTACCATGCCATGACATATACAATAATGGCAGGTCAAACCTTTAAAATCGTAATTTTTAGGTCAAAAACCAAATGTTAAATACCTTGTATCTATAAGTATATTACTTTCCGATCACAATGGTAGTTGCATTTTGTTAATAAAAGTATTTCATTAAAATTTTTTAAATGTACAATTATAAACGAAATTACCTTGCAAAATGCAAAATTTTAAAATGTTTCTATGTTTGCTTGTAATTATTGTTTCACCCACATTTAGGAAATTCAAATCCATACCATTTTAGTTAATTGAATAAACTATACTGTTTAATCAAATTTCATTGGTTGCTAGAACAGAAAAGAGTTTTCATCCAATCACAGCTTTGTTCTTATGGATACATGGCCATTAGACAATGATAGCTAGCATTCTTCACAATTTCACCTATATCCAGAATAAGTACATACAGGATCTGCAAAGTTGCAATAGATTAAAATTAAAATTGCCCATGAGACCATTCTTTAGATCAGCGGTTCTCAACCTGTGGGGCGCGACCCCTTTGGACACTTTTCCATGGGTCGCCTAAGACCATCTGAAAACATATATCCTTACAGCTATGAAGTAGCAACGAAAATAATTGTGTTGCTTGGGGGTCGCCACGACACGAGAAACAGTATTAAGGGGTTGCGGCACTAGAAAGGTTGAGAACCACTGCTTTAGATGAAGTCTTACCAAGGCTATTCTTGGCTCACAACAATTTCTGATAACAGTCACCTATACGGGGAACCCTCATCTAACATTAATACATCCAACAAGGATGTATTGTAAGGAGTGTTGGTTGCATCCAACGTGTAATGAAATGTTAAACATGCTGTCGCTGTAAAACGTAACCGTTGAGCAGGCCCCCCCCCCCCCCCCCCCCTCTTATAATCCACCTGTTTGTCCGTGACAGTCCAACGTGGATAGCAACTCTTTGACGGGCACGTCCATGTCGTCCTCGTCCAACCCCAGCCTGGCCCTCAAGGACAGCCACTTCATGAAGTCCCTGTCCAAGATCAACCCGTTCAAGAAGAACAAGAACAACAACCACTCTGGACAGGACGACGATGACAGCAGCACCATCAGTGAGGAGGGGGAGGTCAAGCCGGAGGTCAGGAAGAAAAATCACAGTTATGAAAGGTGAGGCTTGTTCTGTCAAAGTCATCTAGCTAGAGTAACTGACACTTACAAAAGGTGAGGATGCTTATGTCAAGGTCATCTAGCTAGATTAACTGACAGTTACAAAAGGTGAGGCTAGTTATGTAAAGGTCATACAAAAGGTGAGGCTGGTTATGTAAAGGTCATCTAGCTAGATTAACTGATGGTTGCAAAATGTGAGGCTTGATATGTCAAGGTCATCTAGGTAGATTAACTGACAGTTGCAAATATGTGATGCTTGATATGTCAAGGTCATCTAGCTAGATTAACTGACAGTTGCAAAAATGTGATGCTTGATAAGTCAAGGTCATCTAGCTAGATTAACTCATTTAAAGAAGGTGCAGCTTCTTATGACATGGCAAACTAGGTCAATTTTTATGAATTTTGGAATATAAACATGACACCCTGTCTTGATGTTCATAAACAAAAGTGTAAACTAGGTTTTAAAATTGATTATATGTTTTACCATTCGATTTCACATTCAAAAGAAAAATCATCACTGCCTAACTGATTAAGTGACTCTGAAGGCAACCTGGTAACTTCTCCATTGAATAACACCACCACCATTTGTGCAGTAAAGAATGAATTTGAAATATTTTATTCAGTTTTAAAATATCAAATGTAATTCATTCAAAACTTAAAGAATTTATTTGTTCTACACAAAAATAATATTTTGTTTCATTTCTAAAGTAAATTGGGAATGTAAAAGCTATTTTTTTTATATGTATATAGGAAATGATAGATTTTAAAATAATCATCATTAATTTCTATCAGTTTAAAAAAAAAACGATTATTTGGTCAAGAAAAGATAGTAAGCAGTTGTCAAAAAATGTTACAAAGTGATAGTACAAACTGTGATGTAACAAACAAGAAAAAAATACTTTGTTTTGATTGGCTGATGAATACTCTCAGACATTAACATAATGTATTATGTTGTTTTGATTGGCTGACGACTACTCTCAGACATTAACACAATGTATTAAGCTTTCTTGTAATAAGTTCATTTTATAATAATTTTTTGGTAAGACGAGTGCAGAGCTTGTATAAAGGGCTCTATCTTCTTGACACCAACACTCCATAAAGGCTGCATCTCAAAAGGGTTAAGTCAATCAGTCTTAAGTCAATCAGTCTTACGTCCTTCCTTTCAAGCCCTGAATTCATTACATCTTCAATACTTCCTTTCGAACTATTAATTCAATAAGTCTTCAATACTTCCTTTCAAGCCTTTAATTCATTAAGACTTGAATGCTTCCTTTCAAGCCATTAATTCAAGAAGACTTAAATCATTCCTTTCAAGCCCTTAAGTCAATAAGTCTTCAATGCTTCCTTTCAAACTATTAATTAAATGTCTTAAATTCACTTCAAGGGCTTGAATTCATCACATCTTGAAATCTCTCTTTCAAACTCTTGAATATAACGAGCGTGGAAAGTTAGAATATTTACTTTTGTATTGGATTTTTTTGTATATTCCTCAAAGTACTTTTTTTTTCTTTTTTTTTCTTTTTTTAACAGTTTTTAACATTGCTGATTTAACTCTCACTATTTCTACTGGGAGTTTAATATCAATTTTGCAGTGAACAACGATAACATGTCAAAATATATAATAACATGACATAAACCTATCTTCCTGCCACAGGTCAGAGGGCTTCCTGAAGCAGGCCAACGGTGCAGAGGCTAGGATGTCTATGGTAAAGATGAGAGAAGAAGGCCAGCTAGTGGTATGATGGTGCTTGTGCTGTAGTCCCTGGTAGATGTGCATTAGCCTGAACATGCCGCCCTTTTTTGGGTGCAGTACCTTTCAAATTGGGTTATGATGAAAAGAGGTTGTTTCAAAACAACAGTAAGCACATGACAATACTGATCTGCCATCTCTATACTGGCTGGTATGAGTAGCGGCCATGTTAACTCATTCCCGACGGTTGCGACTAAATGCGTCCTCGGGGGGTCCCTCCTGATGCGTCCAAATGCGTCCCGGCGCATAGCGACACACCTCTCTTATTTTTAGTTAAAAATAGCAATGAAATCTCGCACCCCTTGAAACTTCCGGCTATGGTGTGATTTCTGCGTGATTTTAATTTAGAAGCCGGAAGTTTTTATCTTGTTTCACTTTAAAACTACGTGTGCTTTAGTACGGCGCGTCTATATGTACCATGTGTTCGTCCGAGGTGCCGAAAATCGATTTTTTTGGCCATTGTTCGTTATTTTCCCCCCCGCTAATGTTATATTTATATTAAACCTTATTCATTTTTTGTTGCATTTGTTCTTAATTCATTAACATTAAATAATATTTAGCAACTTAAAAAAATATTTTAAAAATATAAATCAATTTCAAAACTGAGTTGCTTCCCTTTTCTCAGGAAAATAAATTAAGTCCGGAAGCAGCGCTGCCGGAGGGAATGAGTTAAGTAAAACAAGTGGTCATGATGGTATCAGCATGCCACCAAAACAAACAGCTTTACTAAATTAAATGGTGTGAGTAACTGAACAGCGGTTAGCTTCTCTCATTTCAAGAATGTCAAAATGTTGATCCGTCCACTGGTATTACTCTATCCACCAATGATTCTATGTAGTACATAGGATTTTGGTGAATGCTGTAATTTAATGGGGGGTTTGTGGATACTGCACTACGTAGCGTGATGGTGGGTGCTGTAATACATGTGGTTTTGGTGGATATTGTAATATGTAGGGTGATGGTGAATACTGTAATGCATAGGGTGTCGGTGGACAATGTAATGCATAGGTTGTTGGTGGATATTGTAATACATAGGGTGTTTGTGGATGCTGCAATACATAGGGTGTTGGTGGATACCGAAATACATGCAGTTACTGTGATGCATAAGGTGTAGGTGGACACTGTAATTTATAGAGTGTTTGTGGGTAATTACCTTACCTTATCTAATTACCTTATCATGTGTTGTGTTCAGGCTAATGCTTTGTGTTTGCTACTTTTTTTTTTGTGTAGAATAGTTGGTAGAGGTTTTGTTAAGAGACACATATTACACTATTACAGCTGTTAGGTAACAGACACACACTAGAGGTGTCACTATTACAGCTGTTAGGTAACAGACACACACTAGAGGTGTCACTATTACAGCTGTTAGGTAACAGACACACACTAGAGGTGTCACTATTACATCTGTTAGGTAACAGACACACACTAGAGGTGTCACTATTACATCTGTTAGGTAACAGACACACACTAGAGGTGTCACTATTACAGCTGTTAGGTAACAGACATGCTGAAGATGTTGCTTTTACAGCTGCTAGGAGACACACATATTAGAGGTGTTGCATGAAAGCTGTTGCTACACCTGTATTAGAGGTGTCACTATTACAGCTGTTAGGAGACACACATGTTAGAGGTGTCACTATTACAGCTGTTAGGTGACACACACACTAGAGGTGTTGCTATGAAAACTATTAGGAGACACAAATAGAGGTGTTGCTATTAAGAGCTGTTAGTTTAGGAGACACATATTATATGTGTCACTATTAAAGCTTTTAGGAGACACACATACTAGAGGAGTTACTACGAAAGCTGTTAGGTGACACACACATTCCGTTGACGTTTTTCAAGCTGAATCAATGGAATATTAAGAACTGGAAACGGGAAACCTAAAATTATGGAACAAAACAAGAACACAATTATTTGCTATTTCAACTGTACCATTAACACAGTTATTGGAAATGTTTAACTGAAACAATAACACAGTTATTGGAAATGTTTAACTGAAACAATAACACAGATATTGGAAATGTTTAACTGAAACAATAACACAGATATTGGCTATTGCAACTGGAACAATAACACAGACATTGGAAATTTCGACATAAGCAATAACACATCTTTTGGATATTTCCACTGTAACAATAAAACAAATATTGGATATTTCAACTGGAACAATAACTCAGATATTGGAAATGTTTAACTGAAACAATAACACAGATATTGGATATTTTAACTGTAACAATAGCACAGATATTAGATATTTCAACTGTAACAATAACACAGATATTGGATATTTCAACTATAACAATTACACATATATTGGATATATCAAGTGGAACAATAACACAGATATTGGATACTTCAAATGGAACAATAACACAGATATTGGATATTTCAACAGTAACAATAGCACAGATATTATATATTTCAACTGTAACAATAATACAGATATTGGATATTTCAACTAGAACAATAACACAGATATTGGATAATTGAACTTAAACATCTGCATTATAAGTTTTTTCTTCTTCTCATATTTCAAGTTTTTAACAAATGTTGGTCTTAATATTCCCTAAGGAAGTAAACAGTTGGACAATCTGCCAAGCCTCTCCACAAAACTTTATCAGTCTTTTGGGATATTGGGCGTATTTACACCTGATTATGTTTCCCTATAATCAGGGCCATAAATAGGAGGTCTACAAGCATGAAGACTTGTCAGTGCATGTCAGCTAGATATAAGTCTGTCTCAGATTTGAAGTCAGAACGTGCTCAAAAGTAATGGCATTCACATTCAGTCAAGCATGTGTTTTGTAACTTGGCATGAATACTCATAGGTTATTGGTGGCTCCTGAGGCTCTGGGCCTGTTCACTGTGGCAGTGGAGCCAATGTTTTTCAATGTGTTAGTGGAGGCAAGCTTGTTCAATGTGTTAGAGGAGCCAAGCTTGTTCATCACTGTGGCAGTGTATTGACTTGATGGCTAACAATCAATATTCCTTGTTGTATTAACTTGATGGCTAAGAATCAATACCCCTTGTTGTACTGACTTCATTGCTAGCAATCAATATCCCTTGTTGTATTGACTTGATTGTTGGCAAACAATATCCCATGCTGTATTGTATTGACTTGATTACTACCAATCAATATCCTTTGTTGTATTGACTTGATGGCTACCAATCAATATCCGTTGTTGCATTGACTTGATTGCTACCAATCATTATCCCTTATTTTATTGATTTTAATGGCTAGCAATTAGAGCTGCATGCAAACATTTCCTAGCCTATTCTTTTTAAAGCACAGCATGTTATCAGTTGAAGTGCTTAGTGAATCTATGTCTGTGCTTCAGTGGGCTGACAACTAAGTTAATTATGACAAAAATCATTATGTTAGTTGTATAGCTGAGCATTTTTATATTGTAAGTCAGTTACAATACATGGTATATCTTACATTATTTCTTTATGAAAGGTCAGATGGCCAATAAATTGATAAAATTACTTTCGTTTTTTTATATTTAGCTTCAAACAGTCCATATAACCACTTCAGATGAGGGGAGACAAAAGGGGAAAAAGGGAGACAACTTAGCATCCATAATTTTGAATCTTTAATTCTGTATTTATTACCTATGACAGGACCTTGATGCTACGGAAGCTAAGAGCCGAATAGCTGATGAGGAATGGTTCCATGGTGTACTTCCCCGGGAGGAAGTGCAGAGACTTCTGGTCAATGACGGGGACTATCTGGTGCGGGAGTCCAAGAACAAGAAAACCAACGAGACGCAGTTTGTGCTGAGTGTCTACTGGCAGGGCTATCGGCATTTCATCATCCAGTTTACTCCGGTCAGTGGGATTTTCTTTCGTTAAGCCATCTGTTTGTTTTTTTGGTTTTTTTTTATCATGTCAGTAACATATAACAAAATGATGTATGTCGTATATACCTGTAATTTAAAAGTCATTGTTTGATATTTAGGATAGTTCACTATAATTTCGTCTAGTTTAAACTTCTACTCCATTATTTCTTGGTATTGAAACCACTGCTATTCTTTTCTTAAATACTACAAGTACGACCAGATGCTACCGGGGTAATAATGGACGATGTTTTCCGATACTTTCTACCTGTTATTTTGAAGTACCAACATCTAACAACCAAATTTTTACTAATATTATAAGTGGGGAAAAAAAGGAATTACAATTTTTTTTTTCAAGTAATACATTGAAATGTATATGTAGAAAATAGTTAATCAGACTTTCCTTTTCTTAAAAAAGAAGTAGATATGTCTTGAAGCTTACTTTTCTAACATCATTTAAATTTGAGAAATAATGATCTGCAATACAATATAGGCTCACCCTTCACGTTTTCATGCCCCTGAACTGCAATTTTTAATTTTTTTTAATTGTAAAAATTTGTCTTTAAATTTATAAAAAGAAAAAATTTATATATCATTTTAAATAACTTTAACTTTAACAGCACTGATAAATTGATATCTTCATTAAACATTTAAAAACCTTTGCCTTGCTTCTCGAAATATCATAAAACAAAGAACTCTTGTTCATTAAAGAAGAATCTCTCACTAATTTTCACAACTGTAACAGCCTTAAGCTTTTTTTTTGTTCTTTTTTTTTAGAATTATGATTAATCACATAAAAATGTGTACTTACTTTTTCATGAACTTAATTTTTCTCCAAATGGCTGCAACGATGTATTTTCATATTTTAAAAGCAAAACTTCACCCACATTTGTGCACACCCTTGAAATGTGAAGGAAAAATTTGGCGCTATTTTAAAGATTAAATTCTCACATGTGTAAAATTAAAATGATTGGGTTTTTTATATATTTTTATCCTCATCAAAATTTACCCACCCCCTTTCGATCACACTTAAAATGTATTTTCAAGAAATATTTACAATAGATTGCTAAATATAAACTTATTGTTTAACCTCATAAGTATTTGCCAACCCTTTATCCTTTGAAAAATTAGGGAAAATCTTGATGTCCTTAGTCGCAAAGAAATTCACATCCTCTATTTTCCCCTTTCCAAAAATTTTTGAGGTTAAGCTATACATATATAAATCTAGTCACTGCAATTTCAATGTCCTGCAACTGTATTTTCTAAAATTGGTATAACACGTGTTTATTTTAAAAGAAAATCTAACATTTTTATTTTATGACTAATATCATTGAATTTAAAGATTGTCATCGACAATTTATTTTCTCCGTGTGAAATATGTTTTTAGAAGAAGGCTAAAAAGATTATTTCATTGGTTATAAATGCTGGTGTTCAACATATTTGAGTTTTGAGATATTACAATTTTTATCAAATGCGCCCAGCCTTACAGTGGTGTATTTGTGCTGTCTGTTGACCCAGCCATACAGTGGCATAACTTATTCTGTCTGGGGCACCCAGCCATACTGTGGCATAACTTACTCTGTCTGAGGCACCCAGCCATACTGTGGCATAACTTATTCTGTCTGGGGTACCCAGCCATACTGTGGCAGAGTGGCATTCTATAATTACAACAAACACGTAAGCTATTCAGAGAATAACCTTTTAATTATAATACCGGTATCTGACATTAACTAAGACTGCTTTCCCCGATCTCCACCATGGTCACTGCCGCCTGCCGGTATCATTATAATCTGATGTAACTGTGTTGAGATTTAGGTTAGGAGTCTGTATAAATTTATATATTGATTTGAATAAATTATACATCGCTCTGTTTTATTTTCCCATCTAAACTCTGTATATTAGTATGAGCTTGGAAAGATATTTATAGAACAAAAAACATGCATTTAAAAAAAAATGTTTATTTTAAAGAAAAATGTTTTTTTTAAAGTTTTCCAGACTGTAACCATATCTACTAACTATATCACTATAGTAATAGTTTTTACTCTTAAATTAAGCTGAAGTTTTACTCTTAAATTAAGCTGAAGTAACAATGGAATGTCTCTTATGCCAATTACAATCACATTGATGTAAAAAAATACAGTTTTATAGTCATAAAATTCAATTTCTTATAAATTAATTCATAATTGATCATATTAAATAAATGTCAAATAATGCTATCTCATTCTAATTTCATCAGAATTAATTGGGGCTATTGGCAGACATTTAAATCTAATTTTGAAATATTAACAACTCAATAAAAAAGCAACACCTTTTCAATTTTTTCCAAAACATTTTCTTACGAATTATCAAGACAGTGATCAATAGATGATCAGAACTTAACATTAACATTTGGAGAAAATAGTCAAAATAATTATGTAATTGTTATATTAACTTTATTTTTAATTTATAATAAAAATACTTTGATTAAAAAAAAAATATTTTTTTTTATCATATTTAAAATAGATCTGAGTTCCTTTAAATAAATGAAAATCCACATTGTTTTTAAGAATCCGAACGTGTTTAAATTTCTTCATGTGGGCGTTCTATGGTCAGCTTAGCATCAACTTCTGCATATTATTAGTTTACAGAAATCTCTAGTTAATAAAGGTTTTACCAAACTGATACAGAAAAAATTAAAAAGACCAACAAAAAATAAGTATTTTGTACAATGTCATAGACAAAATACTTAAGGCTATTTAGGAAAACATCACAATTTTTAAAAAATAATTTTTAAAAAAAATAGTTTTTTTGTTTTAAATTTCATACAACAGGATAAAGGGTGGCATTTTGAAGGTCACCCTTATCCCACAATTCAAGAGCTAGTCCGCAAACAGTTTGAGTCTCGTATGCCCGTTACATCTAAATCTGGGGCTGTCTTAAAGAAGCCCATCCTCAGAGAGTGGGAACTGCTCAATGATGACATTGAACTCAAGATGAAGATTGGAACGGTGAGTTGACTTCAATACTGTGAGATTTACATTGGTGGAGATCAGGGTGGAAAGTGTATTTACATTGATTGAGATCTGGGTGGAAGAGTCATTTACACGGGTGGAGATTAGGTTGGAAGGCATATTTACATGGGTGGAGATCAGGGTGGAAGACCTATTTACATCGGTGGAGATAAAGATGGAAGACATATTTATTTGGGTGAAATTAAGATAGAAGATGTATTTACATGTGTGGAGATCAGGGTGGAAGATTCATTTGCATGGGTGGAGATCAGGGTGGAAGCGTCATGTACATGGGTGGAGATTAGGGTGGAAGGCGTAAATACTTGGGTGGAGATCAGGGTGGAAGAGTCATTTACATGGATGGAGATCAGGGTGGAAGGCGTATTTACAGGGGAGGAGATCAGGTGGGAAGGGTCATTTACATGGGTGGAGATCAGGGTGGAAGGGTCATTTACATGGGGGCAGATCAGGGTGAAAGGTTCATTTACATGGGGGCAGATCAGGGTGGAAGGGTCATTTACATGGGGGCAGATCAGGGTGGAAGGTTCATTTACATGGGGGCAGATCAGGGTGGAAGGGTCATTTACATGGGGGCAGATCAGGGTGGAAGGGTCATTTACATAGGTGGAGATCATCACGTATAGGTCAATTACACGGGTGGCAGTCAGGGTGGAAGGGTCATTTACATGGGTGGAGATCAGATGGTTGTTTTTAGGTTTGATAGAGTTAGGTTTCTGTGTACTCTGAAATGCAAGAGTATTTTAAGAAATTTGGTTGTGCCTAAACTAAGCAGGGTAGGGAAACATTTTAACATGGTTTGAATTTCATATTTTTTTTTTTAGTTTTTCATATATTTAATTAAAAAAAGTATTATCTTAATTTTTAATTGCAAAGATTAAAATTTTATGGTGATGGATAAAAATCAGATTAGAAAATAACTACACACAAATTAATGGAAAAATATATGGGACACAAGCAAAATTGTGATTTTTATTTGAGAACTGAGTGACTTAGAATGTCTATACATTAGCCAGGTTATCAAATAGGCATTTTTAAAGTTTGAACTCATAATATTGGCTTACAAATAGGGAATATCCATTTTATGTTCCCCATAATTAGAACAGTGTTTATGATGTAAGGCACGTCTGTTCTCAGGGCAACTTTGGTGAGGTCTACAAGGGGGTGTACAAGAAGATGACGGAGGTGGCCGTGAAGACCTGTAAAGACACGCTGACCGAGGACCAGAAGATCAAGTTCTTGCAGGAAGGTCGCATCCTCAAACAGTACAAACATCCGAACATTGTCAGGTACATTGGCATTGCTGCACAGAAACAGCCTGTCATGATCGTCATGGAGTTTATTCCAAGTAAGTTGACATGCTTTGTTCATGAGAAGTTCATTTTTAAGATTCCTCTTGATTAGGATCCTACAGACTTTTCGAGAATCTCTCATGAGTGTCTCATGTTGTAAAAAATTAATTTTGATTTCGCTAATCAAATTTGCGGTAACCATTTCAAGAATATATTACACAAAATTGTATGTTTCACTTCCACTGTTATCTACTTGTTATAGATTTGCTATTTTTTTCCCTACTGATTAATTATTTTAAGTGTTGTACCTCCATAAAATAAATAAGTTATATAAATCAAGTATATTAGAAGAATGTTTTCTTTTCTAACAAGCTTTAGAGTATTATAATTATTCAATACAATTTATTGAGTTTTAAGAAATGCTTTAATACATTATTAATAGCTTAAGTATGTGTGTTTTTTAATATTTTAAATAAAACTGTTTTAACAAATAACATAACATTTCTTGTATTTTTAATCTATATTAAATGCTATCTTCTGGTTTCTTTCAGAGGGCGCCCTGCTTTCATTTCTCAAAAGCCAAGGTGCACAGCAGGGGGTGAAACAGCTGGTCCAAATGTGTGTGGACGCCGCTAGTGGCATGGAATACCTGGAAGGGAGAAATTGTATACACAGGTAACTGGAGGAAGCAAAGCGCTGCCAGCTGTCACTTAACATCTTTTTAAATAGACGATCACATTGTTTAGAACAAGACTTGGGAAAGATAAACAATATAGAGCAAATAATAAAACTGCGCCATTGGCTGTACATGTTCTGCTGTGTACAGAACAAAACAAGGAAGTAGGTCTCAAGATGTTCATTTTAAGCATTTACCTTTTTCACCTGTTTTGCATCCCCTTCACACGGTTGCATTGGATTCTTCTTACTATCATATTGAGATCCGATTTCCTTGTAATGTCGTATAGCTTGAGCCTAGTCTTGTTAAAAATGTAGCCAACTGTGGTACTTAGTTTTATTGATACATTGTTTGATGTAGGATCCCTTATTTATATTTAGCTTCTGGTGTTTCCTGCTTCCTTTTGGAAACCGTCCTCCTCCCCCCAACTGCACATATTTTATATAAATAGTACTGAGTGGAAAAAAAAAAAAGCTGTCATGTGTGATGTGTGAACTCAGGTAAAAAAAAAGTGGGGGAAGTGGGAGAGAGTTACTAATATATTAATCAATAAAGAACCATGGGTATGGATAAGACTGTCAGTGGGACTATTGTTTAAAGGGCGGTCAGTAGGGTTTGCAACTGTCTTTAGGACTATTTCTCAAAATTTAGACATGAACAAAAAACAACAACATAGAAATGATAAGAGATAAATTGAAAAAAGTTGAATCATATAAAAACGATTAGAAAATATAAAAAAAATATTTAGAAATGTTTCGAAAAAACATGTTCTACAATATGGCGTACAGCCACACAGTATCTTTGGAAAATTGCATACTACGTCACCTTTGTTTATTAAATAATGTTTCCTCATCAGTGACGTATCAGTTTTTGCGTTCAGGTGATATATTGATTTATAATACGAGTTTTTTTTTTTTTTTGTGTGTCACGGACAGGAACATCGTAACCATTCGGTACAAGGGAAAATTTTTAATTTTCGATTGAAGTTGAAGAGAAGATTTTTGTGGAATTTATTCCACTTCCATCAACAGTAAGGCATATATGGACGAGGATGGCTAAGATGGGTGCTGGGTGGCCGAGCGGTCTAAACTGTCTCAAACCAAATAGCAGTGGCGCCAGTGGTCCGGAGCTCAATCCCCATTAAAGCCAACATCCCCAGCACCCTGGTGGATGGGACTCGTTAGCCTTGGACGGCAACCCATCTAAGAGAAGGCAAACTCTGAATTAAAACCAGGAGCCATAATGATCAACAAATTGATCGTGGGCCCCTCAAATATAAGAAGAAGAAGAAATGATTGGAAAATTATAAAAATGTTTAAAACAAATTATAAAAAACTTGAAACACTTTCAAAAGATGTGAACAATAAGGAAATATTTAGAAATACAGGAATACCTCTAGTGTTGGCAGCATGCTCTCCATGATGTACAAGATAAATAATGGGCTGGTCCACTGTTCCAGTATTAAACAGAAACTCGTCCCTCTCCCCCATAGACAGCGACGAGGCCATGACAGGCAATTCAGGCTCATACCAGCAAGAAGCCAGTATAGGAGCTGCTCATTCCTGCCCAAGACAATCAGGGACTGGAACAATCTTTCAAAAGGAACGGTTGAGGCGACAACACTAGACACATTTGTGACACATTTGTGTCTATTGCCTCAAGCCTTCAAACCCCTAGTGCATCATTTCCTCATCAACACCAGTAACAGAAACATTGCAAATCCCATCTACATGCATAGGAGCCAAAATGATCAATAAATTGATCGTGGGCCCTTAAGATATAGAAGAAGAAATGATTAGAAATAACTCAAATCATTCAGAAATGATTCTAAAAAATTTGAACAATTTAGAAATGATAAGACATAGAAAAATATGGAATTATTTAGAAATAATTCGAAAAAAATCAAAATAATTCGAAATGATTAGAGAAATATATAAATATAAACGGGTGCTGGGTGGCCGAGTGGTCTAAACTGAGCAAATCTCAAGTTGGTGGTCTGGAGTTCAATTCCAGCTAGAGCAAAAACACCACCAGCACCCCGGGTAGATGGGACTCGTTAACCTTGGACGGCAACTCATCTAAGAGAAGGAAACTCTGAAATCAAACCCGACTGGAGTTCAATTCCAGCTAGAGCAAAAACACCACCAGCACCCCGGGTAGATGGGACTCGTTAACCTTGGACGGCAACTCATCTAAGAGAAGGAAACTCTGAAATCAAACCCGGAGATGGAGTCCCGAAAGGCGGATAACATTGATACAATGAAACATGCCGACAACTCCTGCGACATCACTGGTGCCAAGCTGTATCATCCAATGATGTTCCCTTGGGTTACCCAGCGGCGTGGAGAGAGGCGATTTGCTGTTGGGAACCAGCTTATAATCCTTCAAGTATGTGGATTCCGTCATACAAAGCCCACTCCATCGTCACATTGTGACGGACGGATGCCAGCAAAAAAAAAATAAATATAAACAAATATAAATGGTTAGAGAAACGTTATAAAAATGCACCAGGTTAAGCCTTAGTATTTAATGAAATGCCTAATTTGTTACCCATAGTAGATACAACAAAGATATTGCAAAGTTTTGGCCATTCTTTAAAATTTCTCTCATCCTACATCCAAACTGGCATTTTTACGCCTCTGCATATTTAACCCATCATTCATTGTTGTGATGCAGAGATCTGGCGGCCAGGAATTGTTTGGTGGGTGAGAACAATGTGATAAAAATCTCAGACTTTGGCATGTCCAGAGAAGAGGCAGAGTACACAGTGTCCACTGGCATGAAGCAAATCCCAGTCAAGTGGACAGCCCCTGAGGCATTAAACTTTGGTGAGATCATTTTGTTCTATTGTACCTTTGTGTTAGTTATGTTGTACTATTGTGTTAGTTCTCTTGTGCCATTATGTTAGTTTTGTTGTACCATTATGTGTGTTCTATTGTACCATTAAGTTAGTTCTGTTGTACCATTATTTTCTGGCCCAACAATTTGGAACACACTTCCTGATGCTCTAAGAAACAGCCAGACACTGAAGTCTTTCAAAACCGAATTGAAAACACATCTATTTCGCAAACACCTGCTTGGGTGATGTTGTCTACCATCTTTTCCAGCTGGCTATCATCTCCTAGATGTATATTGGTCTGTGTTGTTCATGTTTGCAAGGGATGAAAGACTTAGAATGGGTATTCTCGTATGTAGTTTTTGTAATGTTGCGTTTTGTATTTCAATGTGGTATAATACAGATTTTTTCATGTTTCTTTTAATATGGTTGACTTTGTACCATGCTTCGAGCCTTTGGGGATGAAGCGTGATTTTCAAATAAAATTTATTATTATTATTATGTTTGTTCTATTGTACCATTATGTTAGTTCTGTTGTACCATTATGTTTGTTCTATTGTACCATTATGTTAGTTCTGTTGTACCATTATGTTAGTTCTATTGTACCATTATGTTTGTCCTATTGTACCATTATGTTAGTTCTATTGTACCATTATGTTAGTTCTGTTGTACCATTATGTTAGTTCTATTGTACCATTATGTTTGTTCTGTTGTACCATTATGTTAGTTCTATTGTACCATTATGTTAGTTCTGTTGTACCATTATGTTAGTTCTATTGTACCATTATGTTTGTTCTGTTGTACCATTATGTTAGTTCTGTTGTACCATTCGGTTAGTTCTGTTGAATATATTTTAAAATATAAGACCCATTTACTCTTTTGATTTTGGCGTGCAATGTACAGTTTTGAGATGTCTTTTACAACTGTATGCCAAGATCTGTCAGAGCTAAGATTTTAAGAGACTGGGCTGAAAATAAATACTTCAGTACTTTTTCCGTAAAAAAAATAATTACTAAGTACAATGGAGGTTATTAATTTTAGCTCTTTTCTACATTCAGCAGTGAATGGATCAAGAACCAAGATTTGTGTGAACCATCTATAATTATAACCGCAATTTTAACGTAGACACTCTGACAATTTTAGTCCATTCTCGCTTTTGTTTGCTTCAGTGCTTCATTTGACTAAACCGTGGCGAGTGCAAAACTGGAAAAAATGTTGTTTTTTTGTTGTAAAATAAGAATGCATTCTCAACCACTCAGCACAGATACATTAGATTTTAAAATATTTTATAAGATCTGAGAGGGCCTTTAAAATCTATTTTTAGAAAACACAAAACAAGTTAGATTTTTAATACATTTTATTACCTTTCACAACTTACAGCGTGTGATATTTATCAGACTATAATAATATGTTAGTGATAGCGGAAAATTAGCTTAATGGATTTTGATTATAATTTTTTTTTAACCCAGCTTTTTCATCAAAAATAAATCCCAAGTTACTTGGAAGGTTTTGTAAATGACATCCTCGTTTGCCAATTGGTTCTTCTTTCAATAAATTTTATTTTATGCTGAACTGACTTTGAAGTTTGAATCACCTTAAACTTCACCAATTACTTTATTTTTACCAGTGACAGACTGTAAAAATGTCATCTGCGGTTCGCCCAAATATCTTTAGACTATATCAGCTACACAAAACCAAAACAAAGTGACCACCGATTGCAATATAAACACCAGTCATCTATTTTTTTAAGCTAACTATTTTACCTCAGCCTAACTCGATCTTACCGGACTTGGATGCAAGCTGTATACTTGATATCTACTGTGTTTTTATTTATTTACTATTAAAATAATATAGTGTTCAATTTTAGGAGTTCGAGGTTACCCAGGTCTGAAATATTAACCAACTTTCCAATTTCTATTTAAATAAAGATTTATTGATTTATCTCAACAAAAAAAATATCAATTAAAAATATATATTTTTGGAAACTCTTTTCTATTTCTTCCTTTATCGAATATTGCTTCCAATTTCATCATCTCTTGTTAGCTCCATCTTTTGATTCATTAACCTTTGACCCTGTTGAATCTATGATGTTTTTTTGGCTTTTTACATTTATTGAAGGGAGTTACTTTCATTCTCTTTATACTCCATTTGCTTTGGTAAATCTAATATCCTTTGTTTTCACTGAGGTCTGTTCTAATGATTGACATGAATTTTCTAGTGATTGACATGACTGTTATACTGCTTTAATTATTAATGGACATGGTTTTTCCACTGTTGTAATGATTGACGGGATTGTTCTACTGTTGTAATGATCGATGTGATTGTTGTCTGCTCCCAGGCAAATACACAGTCCTGTGCGATGTATGGAGCTTCGGAGTTCTGATGTGGGAGATTTTCTCCTTGGGTAAATCCCCATACTCTGGCATGACCAACCAGAGAGCCAGGGAGTGGATAGAAGACGGTAAGAGAGTAGGTCGGGCGATGGCTTGGTAGATCAAGTTTAGAACAGTTGTATCCCTAGATGTCTTAGCCAGAATAGGTTAAGTTACCCAGAAGAGGTCAAGTTGGCTGGAAGAGGTCAAGTTAGCCAGAAGAGAGGTCAAGTTGGCTGGAAGAGGTCAAGTTTGCCAGAATAGGTTAAGTTGGCTGGAAGAGGTCAAGTTAGCCATAATATATTAAGTTGGCTGGAAGAGGTCAAGTTAGCCAGAATAGGTTATGTTGGCTGGAAGAGGTCAAGTTAGCCAGAATAGGTTATGTTGGCTGGAAGAGGTCAAGTTAGCCAGAATAGGTTATGTTGGCTGGAAGAGGTCAAGTTAGTCAGAAGAGGTTAAGTTGGCTGGAAGAGGTCAAGTTAGCCAGAAATATTATGTTGGCTGGAAGAGGTCAAGTTAGTCAGAAGAGGTTAAGTTACCTGGAAGAGGTCAAGTTAGCCAGAATAGGTTAAGTTGGCTGGAAGAGGTCAAGTTAGCCAGAATAGGTTAAGAGTTTTCACCCATCATTCATCTCCCCAATCCACTCATCAGAGGATGGCCATGCTGCCTTTTGGGGCAATATCTGTATACTTCCCTTTGGAGACATAAGGGAGGCTGGTCTCTGATGGCCAGTTGATTTCAGGGTGATGTCTCCTTCCCGGCTGAACTGGCGGGGGAGGGGAGTGGTTTCCTTTAAAAATAACGTAACAACTTTGGCAAGCCTCTCTTATTTATGCCTTTAATTGTCAAAGAATTGTAAAGCAACTCTTAGGAGATGTAATTCCAAATGCTATACTGTATCTATTTGCTGTTAAGCTGACTTTTTTCGGGAAATATATTTTAGGGAAATGTATGGGATGTTCGGATTTAGAACTGTTGACAGGATTTTTATAACTGTCATTCCATAAATTATTCAATTGTAGAAAAAAAATGTCCCAAAAGGTAATTAACCAGAGGCACCCTAAAGATCTGTAAAAATTAGGTCACCAGTTTTGTCATAATTTTACAGACTTCACTAATTGGCTGTGCTTTAGAGAGTATCAACGTAATGACAGGGGATAATTAAATGTTAGAATGTCACTTTTTATAAGATCGCAGGAGTAATTGAAATCTATATTTAGGGCGGCCAGAGCAACTCTGATTTTGTTCCACTGTGGTTCCAGCACCTGATCCATATTTGCAATCTATTGTATTTTTATTAGTCTTAAAAGTCTAGATTTTAATTCAAAAATAATTTTTTTAGAACTGTAATTCTTACACTGGCGTATTGTTCTATGGGGTCGGCTTATGACGGGGTTATACAATTTTCAGACTTTAACCCAGCCAAAATTAGGGATGTTGGCTCATGAACAAGCGTGCTTAAGAATGAATATATACATGTATCAAATAGTTTCAATTCTATTATAAATTTCTTTGTTGCCTCAACCTGTTTTCAGTATTTAATTTTTGCTTTATTGTTTGCTGAACTAGGTCATCGGCTCGAGTCCCCGCAAGGCACGCCGGACCAAGTTTACCAGCTGATGTTGAAATGCTGGGAGTACAACGATGAGAATAGACCACATTTCAAAACCATTCACAAAACACTCACGGATATTCACCGGAAATTGTGAAATGGTCATGAGAATGTGAACGAAACAAAAAAAAACAAAATTGTGAACTCAATATTATTTATCGACCTTTCCAGGGAATGAAACCTAACGGCTTTACTGAGTCTAGTTCAAAGTGTAATATGGCAAAGGAATATTTCATGATCTACCAGCCTTGACCTTTACATCATCGAGACAGATGTTCCTCTTCACCCGAGTCAGCTGTCCAGGAATACATTCTTAGGCCGGAATATTGAGCAGGGATAAATAAGTTGCCGGGCATATATTTCTTTACAAAGTTTCTGATCAAATAGAAGCCTGCTATTTGTTATGATGTGCATATTGCTTTGCCAGTAGGCATAGCTGAATTTGACAATTGAGACTTGGATGGTGCTGATAGAATCTGAGGATTCAAGAAATGTTGCCTGTCTATGACCTTCATTTTTTCAGTGGTTCAATTCTTGAGGTAGGCTTTTAAAGAAATGTCATGAGCTTGTTTTAGGGGACATTTAAAAAAAAATAAAAAATTCTCTATTGGATTTTTAAGTCAAAATGTAATTCTTAGTATTGACCTGTCTTTCCACTGTAACTTTAACTATAGTTAAATATTTACCTACTGTATTTATTATTGATTGAATGATTTCTGTAAAACTTACTAATTAATGTACTGATTATTGATTGAATGATGTTTGTATGACATCCTATTTAATAGAAGGATTAATGATTGAATGATGTTTGTGTGACTTACTAATCATTGCCTAATGTTATTTTGAGATCACTTTACTCCTTCCTATACATTGAAAAACCATACAGTTATCAAGTGTTTCGCTGTTAAGAAGACCTTTCCAGGTCTTTTCCCCTCCAATTTCTTGTGTGTGTCTAGCCCTATCTGGCAGCAGCACGGGCAATAATACATTACTTTCTGGCAGCCTCACTAGAACCTACTGTAACTGCTAATCTGGCATAGTTTGATCTATTGACAGGTTGTGTCCGCTTAACCTATAATCTTTGTCCATGGCCATGGGAAATAACCAGATGGTTATCTTGAAAGAGTTGGTTCACCCTGGGGGGGATAACTACCATATATCACAGCGTATAATGCAATCCACTTATAATGCGAGCCCTTAACACTACCATATATCACAGGGTATAATGCAATCCACTTATAATGCGAGCCCTTAACTTTTTGTTTGAAAAAGGGACTTAAACAGATAGCATTTTACATGGACATGACATTTATTTTTATATCATCATAATACGATAGAAATTAAGAAAATAAATATTTATTTTTATTAAAAATCTCAAAATCCTGTAAATTATTTTAATATTTAAAATGATCGGTGGCCTTAGTGATACAGCTATGCTGATATCCCCTCTAAAGGGCACTAAATACATCGCTGATCTTTGCACATATGCCCTCAGTCGCTTGACAAATGTGAGTGGGCCTAAGATTTGCTTGCATAAGCCTTAATATATACCCCTTACAGGTAATGAAAAACTTCTTTTACATGCATATAATGCAAATAAAGTACCATTTATCTAAAATTTCTCCCATTTTGCGCGGTAAGGTAAACTAAGTTTTAATTGGAAACAGGGTTTTTGTAGACAGAGGACTCTATTAAGATAAAGTTGGTTTCTTATTTTCTTAGATCTTTATTGAAAATTTAAGAAAATTATTTTTATAAACGTTTTTGAGAATTACTTGTGATGCTATTGAAAATTTTAAGTTTTTTTATTTTTTTTTCAAACCTAAAATATGTAATGTTGAATATCACTATTTTCGAAAATGAGTTTTATTTGATCAAGTAGAAAAGCTATCTGAATGTTTAGGGGTGGGCATTCCCTGATGACGGGCCTAGATACGTTTTCTTGAAATTTTTCAAGATGTCAAATGCACCATGTGTATTGCAATATATTATATAAAACACAGTGTATCTGAATGTACATATCTCTACATCTCTATATTTCTATAATAATATCTAGCAATGTTGCCACACAATGTATAAAATTTTGCCTCCTGCTTGTATACCGGTTGCTGCAGTAGGTCTCCTTCACCAGTAGGGATTTATATAGCTTGACTGACTGACCCAGTACCTAACCACATTGCAATATCCTCATTACATATTTTTTTTTTTTTTTTTCGTATTTGAGGGCCCATGATCAATTTATTGATCATTTTAGTACCTAACCACATTGCAATATCCTCATTACATATTTTTTTTTTTTTTTTCGTATTTGAGGGCCCATGATCAATTTATTGATCATTTTAGCTCCTGGTTTGAATTCAAAGTTAGCCTTCGCTTAGATGAGTTGCCTTCCAAGGGGGAGGGTGCTGGACTGGGTTTTGGCTGGAATTGAACTCCAGACCACCAACTTTGGCCACCCAGCACTTGATAGCAATGACCTCCACTTGTCCAATACAAAATAATTATGTTAGTGAAAAGTTTGTCCAAAAGTTTATTCAAAGTAATTTGAGTGGTATTCAAAGTAATTGATTGGTTAAAAAAAAAAAGTGTGTCAAAAAAAAGAAATTGTGAGTAGAAAATGTAGCATAAACTTGGTGTGCACACATCACTCTGCACTTTTTGGTATGCACACATCAAACAGCACTTGTTGGTGTGCAGCTTTCCATACCAACAAAGACACATCACTGATACACACATTACATCATGTCATACAGCACTTGTTAGTGTGCAGACATGTCACTGATACATTCATCACATCACACAGGGCTTGTTGGTGTGCACACTTGCCATACCAACATAGACATGTTACTAATCCATACATTACATCACACAGTTCTGGACAACAAAAATTCAACACAGGTTTGAACTGTTAAGACCCACACACCCACACCAGAACATAAGAAAGGACGGGCAGCAGTTTTGTACTAAAAAATGTTGACAACTCAAAGGCTTCCCTTCATCCCATAATTCTAGCTGCAGAATGAGCTCAGCAACTTTAATCTTAACTCAGCTAACACAATAATTTTTATACATGTACTTTCCTGTTTAGTGGCTTCTATTCTACTACACAATGTAACATATATACATAACATTTAAACATGTATGTATAAGCCTTTTGTAACTTTATTTATATAAAAGTAAGCCTTTTGTAAAATTGTGACAAGCCTTCGCATGTCCAGCCATGACAAATGTCGTTGCTATGTACAATGTCAGTTTTGGAATATACCATGATATGAACTATTTTTCCATGTACGGTTAGCACAAATAAAATAAGAAAATGTTCCATTTGGTTTCTGCGTTCCCCCCCCCCCCCCCCCCATTTTTATACAGCACATTGATTCAGTTGTAATTTTTCTACAAGATGTTGACATCGTTGGTAGCTTTCTCATAACTCTGGTAAATGTTTTATTCTTTACTGTGTAAGAGATTTTTAAAAAATCATTTTCAACACTGTCCATAAGGTGTACATGTCTAGCTGCCTTAGATCACACATTGCTCACTTTCTCTCTCTGTCATTTCTTTCACTCTCTTTCTCTCTTCTCTTGCTAGCCGGTCAACCGTTGATAAACTGCTGCTGTAAATTTTCTCTCTAATGAATTTTTTCATATTTCCTCGTAATTGCCTGTCATATGTTAACATTGAATATTTTTTGGTTACTCGCAGTCCTACAACTATGCAGCACTAATTAAGCTGAATAACTCTACTATAACAATAGTTATTCTACTTTTGTTTTCAGCCGAATATATTTTGTAAATTTAAATCTTTGGATTTTACATAGACTAATACATCCATGGCATAGTCCACATCTATTTTCTTTTTAACCTGAAATATTTTTCTGTGGTTATGCAAGCCATTGCTTTTATAAACTTAGCCCAAAACCCTATCTTATTATAAGGTTATTGTACTTGGTTTATATTGCTGATGTAGATGTTATGATTTAAGAACAGCATGATATATAGGTGATAGTGTCTTACCTGCTTTAAGAGATGAGGTCTTTGTTCAGATGCTAAAGCTGATTGACAAATGTTATGTTGTTAAAATTTCTTTGAAATTTTCCAAATTTACACCTTCAACATCATGTTTAAATTTTTAAAATATGACATGGATCATGTCAGCTATTGTTGACATCTTTCTGAATGTATTTACAAAGGAATATATATATATATATATGACTTGTCATATCTTAATGTGAATGGCAGAAGCCAAAAAAAAACAACTATTTTTTCATAACTGTTATTTTAAAGTTAGTCAGCAAGAGAAAAAACAATTAACGCCTTGTCAAGAAATTTCTTTTCATTTTATTTTGATACTTGTCGCTTACTTTTTGTAAAAATATTTTTAAAAACTCATGTTAAATTTTTGTATCACCATTTCCAAGTAATGTCCCTTGATGATTAGTTCATTGCCTTACAACAGCGACCTATAGGATTACTGTACCCGTAATGATAAGATTTATCATGATCAGTTGTTAGAAATGTTTTGTGTTTTCTTGATGCATGTGATCTCATAACAGCTGGCATGTAAGAGTTTGTACTGTATATTTTTGTAATGACCTATCCTATATCCTGTACATACAACAGTTTGTGGAAACATATTTATATAGAGGTATACAGTGGTTTTATTGTGTATAAATGTGCATAGGTTCCACTAAACAAACATCTAGTTCCTACAATTTGTGTACATTTTTTTAATGCTTTGAAAAACTGTGAGAGTTTTTCAAGATTGTTTTATACATTGGAAGTTGCTAAATAGCATACATTTTAAAAAAATTCTTTTATGTATTTCATTTGGTGCACAGAAATTGGTTAGAGGTCAGTAATATTCAGGTATTGCCAATTTATATTCACGATATCTCAGACATTTAGCTCTTGTTCATTTAAAAAAGGCATACATTAATTATAACCTGAACAAACTATTATTTAGTCTAAATGGTTGCATTGTCAACCAAAAAGGATTATGTCTTTGGAATGGACAATCTCTTGACAATGTTCTCTCCCCTTTATTTTGTTTTCGTTAGGTTTTAGTTTTAGTTTATTATTGAATACACACACACTCAATGAAGACAAGGGAACAAAACTAATGCTCTTATCCATCATTACACAAACAGATACACACAAAAAAGTTTCGTTTTGAACCATTTACACTAACTTCATTTTGGTTTGTTGGTGGCAGGCGAAATCTTTGCATAGCTAAATGAGTCACTTTCCATCAAACTGTCCAACTCAAATTTGGCACATGGGCTTATTGCTGATGACAATACTTTCTATCAAATTTTCAGCTCCAATAGTTTTTCTTGTAGTTCAAGGGGAAAATGCAGAAAAAATTTCCGATAAAAGGCACTCATTGCGATTATTTGTTGAAAACGTCTTGCAAGTGCATTTGGTGCGCAATAGTTTCAGATTTCCTAAAATTGTTGGTGAAATAAATCTATCATGTTTAAAAGCAGGTGAGTCATGGGAACATGA